ATTGAATGGCCGACCTGCCGATACCTATTACTGTCGTGGAGGGGGGCGTCCGATATACGCCTTGTAACGAGGGGATTTTGCTCGATAGTTGCTCGTCGGGTGTCAGTTGTCATCAATGCCTTTATTAACACCCCGCGTCAATCCAACCCCAAACCTCCTACCCCGGGCCTTCCAATTGTAAACCTCGCTTTGGTTCGCTAGATCGCAGAGTTCAAACAGTTAAGCTTTTCATAATATAGATGGAATGTCAAGAATTTGAAACAGAAAGTACTTTAGTTTTACTCCGGTTAATCATCATATAATAATGAAGGCAGATTATAGATAATAATAGATAACTACGGGTATCATTGGACTTTGCAGTGTTTCAGCAGCTGCTTTCAGCCTATTAACTTTTTGAAAACGTTTAAAGTTTCTTGGTCAAATCCAATTTTCAAGTGTGTACTTTCTTTTGTCCGACTGATCAGCTGTTTTTATTGCGAATCATCCTGTATTTATTATATACGGTGAACCCCATTTAGCTTAAGAATTACATACGAAAATGTACCCATATCAATAGCAAAATTCTAAATATGAAACCAGGAAACGCCCTTATTGAAGTTACTTGTCCATTCAATTTGAACTTGTCAGAAGAAACAGTTTTTGTAGGATGTAATTGTTCCATCTTCATCTTTCACTTAGGCTATGTAGCCCGGTGTATATAGTGCCCGACACTTAGAACAAAAGGTTTCATTCCAACCCACACACAAGCTGTGCCTACATCCCCTATAATCACCACCTAACGGCAAACCACACACTCCTATTTTATTGCCATCATTATGGCAGTTCGTCACTCCCTCTAGAGAAAAACACCTACGTCATGCGGTTTCACAAAGGATGTTTCTCAAAAGTACGGGGAATCCCCTCACCAGCATTGCGACACACTGTCTATCTCCAGTGGAATTTTTTTTACATATAAATTAGTACGTTGATATTTGCATTGCGCAATGGGTACTGAGGGGCGTGCATTGGTTACTGGGTCAGTGCTTTCTGGAGGTAAACTGCACCTGTAGGTCCACAAAGTTTATTATGACACAACGGAATTTTCCTTCCTTCCTTCTAGGCCACTGCACGCTATATACAACGCAGTGTGTTCCGATTTATACCTACACGCGTCTTAACTGATGTTCCTTGACACCGGTCCTCATTAAACAACAGACGGAGAAGTCTGATAAAGCTTTTTTAATTATTTTTTAAAGTTTCGTTTGTTTTATGTGTGTGGAAGATAATGTTGACTCAAACATAATCCCACATATCTGCTTCATATCTACCTACCTTTAATTCATTGATCCATTCAATCAAACATATCTACCTGTTTGTCAAAATATTCATGCAACGAGTCAAACCTACCAACCTGTGCATCAATACATTCATTCATTCATTGTTGTCATTTTTCTAAAATGTCCTTCAGATTATATAAATATGTTTTATGTGGTCTGAACGGTATGCTGGTGGACGTGTGAAAACTGAAATTTTCGTGTGAGAGCAAAGCTGAACGAATGGGGTCTGAATGTTCCTGAGAATGTTGGCGTGAAAAATGTAGATGTTCGTGTGCATGATATATGCATGGGGAAGTTAGGTGTCTCATTGGAATGAACTGTTACGCAGGCCAGGCGGAAGAATGGATGGTTATCAATTACGTACTTATAGAATGTTTAAAGATGTGTATGGGTGTGAAAGTTATGTAAGTATGCATATGCCTTCTTAAATTTAAATCAAGACTGCTCCTTTAAAGTTGCAAACAGCCAGATATACGAATATGAAAGTAAATGAATGAGTGTGTTTTCAGTGTAATGGTATTGAGGATGAACGTTGTGTATGGCTGGATTGCCCTTTGTACGACGATTAACGTGAAAGTTTATCCGAAAAGGTCAGGTTTAGCTATTCCAACTTCTCCGAGTTATGTAATACTGATAAACTTATTCTTCTTACCCTTTTTAATAGTATGTATATTTTACAGCCAAAACCTGCTTTTGTATTCTCCAACGAAGAAAAAATATTGTATATGGCCAGTGACCGGTAGTATATTTTATATATGATGTATATACTGTGATATATTTTAAGTCCCTCGCAACCCCTTAATGGATGGCTCACTTGTATGTACTGTTATATGTAACTTCATAAATATTTTTGTGCGGTCAGACTCAAATAAACAATCTGTCTGTCTCCATGCAACAACAATGCCTATTTACCTGTCTGCTAATCCATCCATTCATTCAGCACCGAGTCATACCTGCCGCTAACTGTCTGCCTGTTGTTTTTCATTCAACATCGAGTCATACCTATCTATGTGTATGTCAATCCATTCATCCCACATCGATTCAGACCTGTCTATCCATCCATCACTCAACATTGCAATCATCAAATGTACTTTCTCGTCTTATTCCATTACGTCATCTATGTTCCTCGCTGTAGGGATTACATTCCAATACTACATACCAGTCACAGCTCACCATCACCTCACAATAATACAAAGATATATTTGTACGAGCCTACCACCTCACCATGAGAATAATGCCTATTCTGCCTGCAATCTCGCTATGACACTGACATATGGACGTACCCTCTACTCCCTCACTATAAGACATAGGCACACTGCAGAAAGACACACATTCATAACAACCGCTGTGTTCATGCCGTTCAAGACATGTAAATCACATACACACTGGCCGGTAGCTAAACCCAACTCAAAGCTCACCGTGTCATGAATATACTCCTCGTGTCCTGACATGTCACCACATCAACCATGTCGGCCAACATCACCGCCACCGTCACGTCAATCACGTCGCACAACATCAGCACCACCACCGCGTCAATCATGTCGTACATCACCATCACCACGTCAACCACGTCGTACAACATCACCAACATCACCACGTCAATCATGCAGTACAATATCACCAACACCACCACGTCAATCATGCAGTACAACATCACCAACATTACCACGTCAATCATGCAGTACAACATCACCAACATTACCACGTCAATAAAACAGTACAACATCACCAACATCACCACGCTAATCACGTCGTACAACATCACCAACACCACCACGTCAATCATACAGTACAACATCACCAACATCACCACGTCAATCACGCCGTACAACATCACCAACATCACCACGTCAATCATGCAGTACAACATCAGCACCATCACCACGTCAATCATGCAGAACAACATCACCAACATCACCACGTCAATCATGCAGAACAACATCGGCACAATCACCACGTGTCATGTCGGTTTCTCCTTTAATCTTGACCCCGTGTACCCCAAAGACCCCAACCTGCACCCCTGAATGCCATTAAGAACATTAAACATCAAGAACAGTGGCAGATTAATTTCCCAGGGACATGAACAACGCACGTTCAGCTTGTGGTCGACAACATGAGACGCCATTAAGTCGGGTTGCGGCAAACTCATCCTTACATCCGCGAAAGAAAATTTGAAAATTATATGTACAATCATAAAAATATCCAAATTGACATGACACACAAATGAACTAGCGATGTAACTCTTAGTTAACTTAGACCAAATTATTCTTAGCCTGAAACAGTATTCGGCGATGTACACCGTATTGAAACTACCTCGGTTAAATATTTGCTATTCTGTTCAAATAGGTGTTGTGTTACAGCTGTCGTCTAGAATGTTTATTCCTTGGGGAGGGAATATATTAACCGCCGCTGTGACCTTGGGATGTATAATTTAGCGGTAAAGATTCGTGCTGATGAATTACCGTCACGAAACCGATGACATCAAACTTGGAATGTGGTATGGTCTGCGTAAGAAAACAATATATCAATCCTAATACGGCGTGTTGGATTAATATAGTCGATACCCGAAGTTACCAAGACAAACCATGAATCATAAGAAGGTCGAATCTATAATTCTGACCTAGTATCCTGATTAGCCTACGGGACGTAACTCTGCACGACAGTTTGGTTGACCTCACGCCTTTGACGTTCATGTATATATAAATGAAAGTACAAATTGACCAGCATGGCTTGGAATCAATGTTATTAAAGTCAGTTGTTGTGGTATAAATCATACTCTCACAAGCTGTGGTGGCTTTTATTATACTCATATCTTTGCTTAATAGTTACATTTATTGTTTAATAGTGACGTGAAAGTAAAATGATATATTTCAGCAGTCCCACGTTATCTACTTTTTTACGAGTTTTTAGTTTGTAACCGCAACAAGTGCGTGCGTTGGATATATGCAAGTGATGTGACCTTGATTTCAAACAAGGCGATACAGTCTTGCCATATGGTGATAAACTTAAAAACGTAAATCTGTTGTTTTGTGAAAGATAATCATGAACATTTTCACTTAAGCAACATGATACGTTCTTTACTATACCAAACACATTGTGTCACAGGAGCTCTTTTCAACCACCGCATGTAGATCCAGTGGTGATATGAGATTCCAAACAATTCTCCAAATGTGCATAAGATCAAATTACAAGCTTTAATCAAATAGCAAGGATCGCTGCAAATGTACTTTTCATGTCTACCGCGATTCTCTGTAAGAAAATTACATACGATATGAGCAACGCTTCCGTGTAACACTACAAATTAACAGGGGTTATTAATTTGCATTGCCATTGGTGTGGTTGTTGGTGCGTGACGGCTTGAGGGTCTGAAAAAGACTGACAATAAGTTTGGATGTGTTGCACAGCGCTTTGAACGTGATGTCGTGAAAGTGGTGTGTTGTTGCTACGTTCGTCAGTTTGTTTCAAGTGTCAGCGTATCCGATAAAACCCCAGTCGTGTACAGAAAAAGATTGTTCTTTACTGTACACATACATGACACTGTTACTATTAAGTACTCAGAGGCAATAGCAAAAATTTGCGTGTTGAACGCATATATGTTATCTGCAGGTGTATCATCCGTTTGCATCTAACTTAACTCGAAAACTGCACTGGTTAAGTTAGATAAAGAATATAAAGTTTACATACCTCCTCCATTTTTGTAACAAAGGTATGGAAATCTCCACACATTTCCAAGGCCAACGGAAAATCCAATACAAGCCAAAAGAAAGTCAAAAGCTCTTCCCCATGTTTCTCTCTTGTTAACCCCTTCTTCTTCCTCTAGTTCCACAACGGGGGGCGTCGCTACTGCCAGATTGTTTGACTCTTCCTCTTTCTCCATATCTTTGTTTCCTTAGAACCAGAAAAAGAAAAAGGAAACACTGAAACCCATGTACGACCACTACACCGACTTGGCCCCTGTGAGGATGATCTTTCCAAGCTTGTCAAACAACTTCAAGCAGGTCCCATTCGTCATGGGGGTGACGGGTTATGGGTTAGCTGAATTGTCCCGGTGTACGTGATGTCTGCTGTAGGCATTTGCAAATGCCCGCTCAGGTACACAAAGCGTAAATCAAAGTCATTACCGGGAAGTCACGACACTGTCGACTGAATTAGATTTAGGTTCGGCTTTCGGACTTGTCACCCCTCTGTGTCGGAATTGACTGGCCTGGGCCTCTTATTGGTTTTGGTAGCCACAAAGGTATATCAGATTTGTAAACATGCAATAGTTAACCAAGATCATATTATGTTGTCTGAGATTTTTCTTCTGGGCGTTTTAAGCAAGCTTTTTTTTGCTTTGGAGTGTAAAGTACTTTGTGTGTGTTTTTTTTCATTTTAGGGGTTTTATTCTGTCTCTGAAATTGTAAACTTGAGGTGACGGGCGGGTTTGTTTGTCGTTGTGCAGCGTGGTGAGACGGGTAGGTCTCCTAGGGTAGTTGTGAGAGAAAAATAGTTGTGGCCACGAATGACTAAGGAACCGGTTGTACTGAAGCGTGGCGCATTTTAGCATTACTGACTTGTTTGACCTGCGTCACATTTGACTGATTAATGAGCAGAAATATGCAGACAGACGTCCAAGATCATGACGGCTGTAATCTGGTGTTCTGGTAGTAGAGCGTACGTTATACCACGAGAAGTAGCTCACACAATGTCATCTCCATTATGACGTCTGTAACCTGATGGACGGACAGAGGGTGTTGCTGTATTGTCTTGATGGACGGACAGAGGGTGTTGCTGTATTGACTTGATGGACAGACAGAGGGTGTTGCTGTATTGACTTGATGGACAGACAGAGGGTGTTGCTGTATTGACTTGATGGACAGACAGAGGGTGTTGCTGTATTGACTTTATGGACAGACAGATGGTGTTGCTGTATTGACTTGAACGACAGACAGATGGTGTTGCTGTATTGACTTTATGGACAGACAGAGGGTGTTGCTGTATTGACTTGATGGACAGACAGAGGATGTTGCTGTATTGACTTGATGGACAGACAGAGGGTGTTGCTGTATTGACTTTATGGACAGACAGATGGTGTTGCTGTATTGACTTGAACGACAGACAGATGGTGTTGCTGTATTGACTTGATGGACAGACAGATGGTGTTGCTGTATTGACTTGATGGACAGACAGATGGTGTTGCTGTATTGACTTGATGGACAGACAGAGGGTGTTGCTGTATTGACTTTATGGACAGACAGAGGGTGTTGCTGTATTGACTTGATGGACAGACAGAGGGTGTTGCTGTATTGACTTGATGGACAGACAGATGATGTTGCTGTATTGACTTGATGGACAGACAGATGATGTTGCTGTATTGACTTGATGGACAGACAGATGATGTTGCTGTATTGACTTGATGGACAGACAGAGGATGTTGCTGTATTGACTTGATGGAATGACATAGAATGCCACTGTCATGACTTGATGGACAGACAGAGGATGTTGCTGTATTGACTTGATGGACAGACAGATGATGTTGCTGTATTGACTTGATAGACAGACAGAGGGTGTTGCTGTATTGACTTGATGGACAGAGAGAGGATGTTGCTGTATTGACTTGATGGACAGACAGAGGATGTTGCTGTATTGACTTGATGGAATGACATAGAATGCCACTGTCATGTCCATGTATGACCTTGATGGACACACTGATAATGTCGCTGCCATGTCTTGATGGAGAGATACAATGTGTGACTGTATTGACCCGCTGGACAGACAGGGTATTTAACTGTCCTGATTTGACGGACAGACAGAGACCGTGGCTGTCTTGCACTGATGCATAGACAGAGAATGTGGCACAGTTGAACTAATGGGTAGACAGATAATGTATTGAACTGATGGACAGACAGAGAATGTAGATGTATTGACTTGATGGATGGACAGACAAAGAATGTGACTGCTTTTGACATGATGGACAGACAGAGAATGTTATTGTATTGACTTGATGGACGGACTGAGGATGTGGCTGTCTTGACTTGATGGACAGACAGAGATTGTGGCTGTATTGAACTGATGGACAGACAGAGAATGTGGCTGTATTGACTTGATGGACAGACAGAGAATGTGGCTATATTGACTTGATGGACAGACAGAGAATGTGGCTGTATTAATTGATGGACAGACAGAATGTGGCTGTATTAAACTGATGGACAGACAGAGAATGTGGTTGTATAGACTTGATGGACAGACAGAGAATGTGGCTGTATTGAACTGATGGACGGACAGAGGATGTGGCTGTCTTGACTTGATGGACAGACAGAGATTGTGGCTGTATTGAACTGATGGACAGACAGAGAATGTGGCTGTATTGACTTGATGGACAGACAGAGAATGTGGCTCTATTGACTTGATGGACAGACAGAGAATGTGGCTGTATTAATTGATGGACAGACAGAATGTGGCTGTATTAAACTGATGGACAGACAGAGAATGTGGCTGTATAGACTTGATGGACAGACAGAGAATGTGGCTGTATAGACTTGATGGACAGACAGAGAATGTGGTTGTATTGAACTGATAGACGGACAGAGAATGTGGCTGTATTGACTTGATGGACAGACAGAGAATATGGTTGTATTGAACTGATGGACAGGCAGAGATCGTGGCTGTATTGACTTGATGGACAGACAGAGAATGTCGCTGCCATGTCTTGATGGAGAGATACAATGTGTGACTGTATTGACCCGCTGGACAGACAGGGTATTTAACTGTCCTGATTTGACGGACAGACAGAGACCGTGGCTGTCTTGCACTGATGCATAGACAGAGAATGTGGCACAGTTGAACTAATGGGTAGACAGATAATGTATTGAACTGATGGACAGACAGAGAATGTAGATGTATTGACTTGATGGATGGACAGACAAAGAATGTGACTGCTTTTGACATGATGGACAGACAGAGAATGTTATTGTATTGACTTGATGGACGGACTGAGGATGTGGCTGTCTTGACTTGATGGACAGACAGAGATTGTGGCTGTATTGAACTGATGGACAGACAGAGAATGTGGCTGTATTGACTTGATGGACAGACAGAGAATGTGGCTATATTGACTTGATGGACAGACAGAGAATGTGGCTGTATTAATTGATGGACAGACAGAATGTGGCTGTATTAAACTGATGGACAGACAGAGAATGTGGTTGTATAGACTTGATGGACAGACAGAGAATGTGGCTGTATTGAACTGATGGACGGACAGAGGATGTGGCTGTCTTGACTTGATGGACAGACAGAGATTGTGGCTGTATTGAACTGATGGACAGACAGAGAATGTGGCTGTATTGACTTGATGGACAGACAGAGAATGTGGCTCTATTGACTTGATGGACAGACAGAGAATGTGGCTGTATTAATTGATGGACAGACAGAATGTGGCTGTATTAAACTGATGGACAGACAGAGAATGTGGCTGTATAGACTTGATGGACAGACAGAGAATGTGGCTGTATAGACTTGATGGACAGACAGAGAATGTGGTTGTATTGAACTGATAGACGGACAGAGAATGTGGCTGTATTCACTTGATGGACAGACAGAGGATGTTGCTGTATTGACTTGATGGACAGACAGAGAATATGGTTGTATTGAACTGATGGACAGGCAGAGATCGTGGCTGTATTGACTTGATGGACAGACAGAGGATGTTGCTGTATTGACTTGATGGAATGACATAGAATGCCACTGTCATGACTTGATGGAGCGATACAGTGTGTGGCAGCACTGACCCAAAGGACAGTGAGTGTAAGTCCATGTATGACCTTGATGGACACACTGATAATGTCGCTGCCATGTCTTGATGGAGAGATACAATGTGTGACTGTATTGACCCGCTGGACAGACAGGGTATTTAACTGTCCTGATTTGACGGACAGACAGAGACCGTGGCTGTCTTGCACTGATGCATAGACAGAGAATGTGGCAAAGTTGAACTAATGGGTAGACAGATAATGTATTGAACTGATGGACAGAGAGAGAATGTAGATGTATTGACTTGGTGGATGGACAGACAAAGAATGTGACTGCTTTTGACATGATGGACAGACAGAGAATGTTATTGTATTGACTTGATGGACAGACAGAGAATGTGGCTGTCTTGACTTGATGGATAGACAGAGAATGTGGTTGTATTGAACTGATGGATAGACAGAGAATGTCCCTCTATTGAACTGGTGGACAGACAGAGAATGTGGATGTATTGACTTGATGGATAGAGTGAGAATGTGGCTGTATTGAACTGATGGACGGACAGAGGATGTGGCTGTCTTGACTTGATGGACAGACAGAGATTGTGGCTGTATTGAACTGATGGACAGACAGAGAATGTGGCTGTATTGACTTGATGGACAGACAGAGAATGTGGCTATATTGACTTGATGGACAGACAGAGAATGTGGCTGTATTAATTGATGGACAGACAGAATGTGGCTGTATTAAACTGATGGACAGACAGAGAATGTGGTTGTATAGACTTGATGGACAGACAGAGAATGTGGCTGTATTGAACTGATGGACGGACAGAGGGTGTGGCTGTCTTGACTTGATGGACAGACAGAGATTGTGGCTGTATTGAACTGATGGACAGACAGAGAATGTGGCTGTATTGACTTGATGGACAGACAGAGAATGTGGCTCTATTGACTTGATGGACAGACAGAGAATGTGGCTGTATTAATTGATGGACAGACAGAATGTGGCTGTATTAAACTGATGGACAGACAGAGAATGTGGCTGTATAGACTTGATGGACAGACAGAGAATGTGGCTGTATAGACTTGATGGACAGACAGAGAATGTGGTTGTATTGAACTGATAGACGGACAGAGAATGTGGCTGTATTCACTTGATGGACAGACAGAGGATGTTGCTGTATTGACTTGATGGACAGACAGAGAATATGGTTGTATTGAACTGATGGACAGGCAGAGATCGTGGCTGTATTGACTTGATG